GTGGTTGAAAGCTCCATTGCAGTGCGGGGCCTGGTACAGCAAGAGCTTTTCAGCATGATTCACCACTCATCAGGACGCAGCTTGCGAATGCTTGGCGACCAGACTTCCTTTGAGGCCCAAGTTTTGGTTGAGGGTCGCCTTTTGTGGGCTCCAGGGAAACTGGGAGGTCTCGGGTTTTTGCCCCCCCCCCCCCCAAGCAAGCGCAACTTCCAACATCCGGGGCTTGGACCGACTCCCCCCATTTCGCTCGCCTAGTTGGTGGGTACGCCTAGACTTATAACCCTATAACCACTGAAAGGAGACTTATAAACCGCATTTGTGGGTTATAACTAACCTTACCAATCACGTACCTGACAAAATGGGTATAAACCTTGGTTATCACCCACAAAAGGCCCATGGTGTTGTTCGCCCCCAGTGGCTTATCTGGCTGTGGGTCAAAAACATGTACCCAAAATGGAACCCTAGGAAATGGAAACATGGGCTAAAACCTGCGGTCCAATTCCTGGTGGTTCAATTTTGACCCACAGCTTGGTTTGAAATTCCAGAGCCAGGTCCTGCCTTTTTTTCTCCATGCACTCTACCCTAAAAAGCAGCAACAGTGACTGAAGAAGGCGGTTGCAACTTGGCTATCTAGGCATGGGTATTCCAACCACTCACGGCGAAGGCCTGGAGGCACGCGAAGGAGCTCTGGCCCAGCCTGGCGCTGGGCCCGGCCCCGCTCCCCTTCCTGAGTCCAATGCGGATGGTGAAGCTGGCTCCGTTGAGAATCCTGCAGACTGTTCTTGGATCACGTCTTTTTTTTGAGTCTGTTTTATTATTTTTCTTTTGGTGTGTGTGTGTGTGACGATTGCTTGATCGGTTGGATGGCCCTTGCGCAGCTATGTCGCAGTCGCAAGAAATGTGGGCGGCTCGTCTTTGCCTCTTTTTGGACATTTTTGGTACCATCCACTTTTCGGGGTTGGGCGACCATCAGGACAGCCAAGCCATTTGGGGGATGCCTTTAATTTTTGACCACAGCCATGTCACAGGATCTGGCAAGAGGGTCTCTGGATGTGGCTGGCGCGGACCTGTGGGGCATCCGCCCCGAGATCGGTACGCTTAAGGACCACGGGCTTTACGGACATCACGGGCACGGGCTTCACGAGCTTCACACGGGCACCACGGGCACGGGCTTCACGGGCTTCACGGGCTTCACGAGCTTCACGGGAACCACGGGCACGGGCTTCACGGGCTTTACGGGCGCCACGGGCACCACGGGCTTCACGGGCTTCACGGGCACCACGGGCACCACGGGCTTCGGGCACCACGGGCACCACCACGGGCGGCACGGGCACCACGGGCGGCGGGCAACACGGGCACCACGGGCACCACAGGCACCACAGGCAACACGGGCAGCACAGGCAGCACGGGCACCACGGGCATCATACGCAGCACAGGCAGCACAGGCTCCACGAAGGCTCCACGAAGGCTCCACAAGTACGTGCCCGATAAACTAGAAAACTCAATTGCCATAAGGGACTTCAAAATCTTCAAAGCCAACATCTCTAAAATACTGGCGAGCTGCACAGAAGGCCACCCAACGAAAGAGAGAATGAAAACACTGTAGGTTTGCAGAACAGTCGAACGGTCAATGAGCAATCCAAGCGCCACGCCCTCCGTTCCAGGCCAAGCTACACAACGGAGCTGCTACTTTAGGTTTGCTCCTTGTCTCCCCCCAACCTTCGTCGAGGCAACTAATTCTTGACAGCTTCGCGCCAGGCTTGCAAAGACTGATGCTAACACGAGCTAGTGCAAGATAGAAACTGTTCATCCCCATCCTCGCCAAGGCGACTAATTACTAGCGGCTTCGCGCCAGGCTTGCAAAGGGCGGGATGTCAAAGCGAACAAGCAAGATAGAAACTGTGGGATTGGTCCACCGTCACCAAGGTGAGTGCCCCCCAACGGACTCACGTCAGCGTGCAAAGGGTGGAATCTCAGCGCTTCCAGCTCGAAACAAGAAGCATGTCAAAAACATGTGTTTGCGCAGAATCACATCTTCCATCCGAGATCTACCCATGGCTTCACCAAGGCGAAAGCCCCAAAGATTTTGCGCTAGGCTTCGCCCTCACAGGCGCAACAGGCTCAGGGGCATCAGCATCCAAATCTGTTGGTGCCGCCACAGGCTTCTTCTGCTCTTTCTTGATCCGTGGCGCCTTCTCAGCCTTGCTCCTCACACGGTCTGCCAAGGTAGAGAAGGGAAGCTGGCGCAGCATCATGAACTCGTGAAAGCGACGCAGTGCGAGTTCATCTGCGCAGTCTGGCAGGTCCACGAAAACTCTTGGGCAGTTCGGACGCTCTTCAGCATCAGCCCCGCAACAATACCTCGCAACGCGGCTGTCCCGCAAGCCCGCCTCCATCACTGCCTTCCAGTGATGGATTTTCACAGCGGCGCGCTGGAACTCAGCGCCTGAAGAGCCAGCGCATTCCACCTTCTTCCTGACAACTGTGGAGTCGATGACCCGGAAACCGAAGATGCAAGGCTCTCCTCGCAGGAACGTGCGCTGCCTGAGGGCCTTGCTGGCGCAACTTTCGACCCAAGTACTTCATTCACTACATGACGGGTGGCTCGGAAGAATGGAAATAGGACAGGCACACTCTGACATCTCCTCTGCCTGATGAGCAGCAAAACACAAGCACGTCAATGCCCGCCCAAGCATAGCCTCTGCAAGTTCTGGAACCTCCGCGCGGGGTTCGCCGCGACCACAACGCATTCGCACAGAGCCACAGCGAGAACGCTTCGACACGCAGGGTCTCCGCAGAGGCAACGCCGACATATTCGAAGCGCGCACCTCGAAGGTTCGCCGAGGTCAACACAGCGCCGCGACGAGAGCGCTTTGACGCGGAGTGAGGGCGCATCGACACGCGCAATCTTTACAAAAGATTCGCCGAACTTTCGGCATATTTGCACGGCGCCACAGCGAGAGCTTGGTCTCAGCCCCCTCCGCGCATGGCTGTCAGCCTGGCATTTCGCTGACATGAGGTAAATCCCATGCACGTCGAACAGTGTTCATCAGGGTTCCGTTTTTTTAGCGATAGACTTAAACCCCGGGGTGGTTGATGTCCCCAGAAGGAAACCCCTGCGTTTAAGTCTACCTTGTAGTCAACAAAAAAAGGGAAGCCTGGTGTTCATCACAGGTCGCCTCAATTGAAGGCACTATGGTCTTGCAATGTCTTCTTGCGAGCGGGCGCGCTGCCAGCAAGCCATTCACTGTGCTCTGTGCTGTGAGCATTTTTGACACCATTCCCAGGCCTTCTGGCGGTAGGTTTCTCATGAGGGTGTGGTGAGTGGTCCGAGTTGCTTTGACCATTTGCGTTTCATTTTGTTCACCTGGGTGTGATATGCCTACATGTTGCCCTGCAGCGTGGTGGGCAATCCCTGCTATTACATGGCATGACCAATAGGGAATCCACAGAAAAAGATGACTTTCACCACATGGGAAAAGTTACCCAGGCTCATTTTGGGGCCGAAGGGAATATTGATCAACACCCATTTGAGTCCCCTTCGGCTTTTTCCCGTGTTTCCATGTTGTGCAGCGGGTTGCCATACTGCGTCACCGCGCGCCAGGTTCGGCCAGTGGTGGAGACTGGGTGGGAGAACACCTTGATCATCAGGAGCTCAGCACTTCTTGTTGCTTTCTGTGTGGGGTGGGCAAATGGATGCGCTTCCTGAATTTGGACGCCTCAGGCCATCAGTTGCGTCGAATCTGGACGGAAGCTGCCTTCAAGCATCTAATGTTTAGAATGACAAGTTTTGCAATTCCTGAACGAGATGAGTCTAAGAGGTGGATCTTGCAATCACGCAGTGCATGACTTCTTTCCCAAAAGTGGTTGGCGGACATTTGTTTTGCCCAAAATGACCTCCAAGGCTCCCAAAAGTGAAGGTTCGCACCCAAAAGTGAATTTGTTCTTGCCACTTGGGGTAGGGTGGGGTGGGGTGGGGTGGGGTGGGGTAGGGTGGGGTGGGGTGGGGTGGGGTGGGGTGGGGTGCCCACCCAGGTTGCTCTTCAAAAACCCCTGCAGCCTGGTGTCCCTTGGCGGCTCCTTTAGGATCCTGGCGGAGGCGGATTTGGTGGAGGCCTCGCGGCGGATACAGAGCCGGGCAGCCCAGCGCAGTAGAATATGCCATGGCAGTTGTGAAGAAGATGGCTGTGGGTCAAAACCCCGTACCCCCAGTGAACATCCCAACCCCCACTAAAATAGGAAGCCTAAAATGGGTGGTGAATTCACCTACCAACCAAAATGGTACCCTTAGTTTTGACCCACAGCCAGATGATTGCAGTTCAACGCGGCATAGCCACAATCACTCGGTCAGACTGAGTCACATTTACTTCTTGCGCTCAGAAAAAATAAAATACATTTTTTTTTTTTTTTTTTTTTTTTTTTTTTTTAAAATAAATAAATAAATAAACATGCGGCATAACCTATGGATCCATTTCGGGGTGGATGAACATTCATTTGCCACCTATTTTGACGTTCACCAGGTGTACAGGGTCTGGACCCACAGCCATATGTCAATCCGGGCACTCAGTCACAATGACTCTCCATATATCAATCGGACGCCCCATTTTTCCAGATCCTCCCCGGAGCGTGAGCGGATTGGGTGCCGGGAGGCCGAGTGAGCGACTCAGGGCATATCTTATCAAAAATCAACGGCGGCACCCTACCGGCCCTCGGCAGGTAGGGGCCATATTTTTTCTATTTTTGGAGACACCCCAGGTGGCCATGATGATTTTAAGAGGGAACGTTGGACATGAATTCCCAGCTAAATGATGTCCAAAGGGTCCCCTATTAAAACTCATAGTTTGGTGGTTTGGGGTGGAGTGAGTTGCGAGTCGTTTTTTTTTTTGGCGACAAGAGCGATCCATCGGCAAAAACTGAGGGCTGAACAAACGATTTCTCTCCCGATTCTCAGTGGCCCCGGCAAACTACTTAAAGGGGCGATCGATTCGGAATCTGAGGCCATGGGGATGCCGACAGGGCGGGACCCGACAGAGCCTCAGAGGGGGTGCGGTCCGTATCCGTCCAATGAATCAGCAGGTTGCACTTCAGGAAATCATTTAAAACAAGAAACGAAAGACAGGCACATGGCTGCCTCTTCAGAATAGGAATCGGTTCAGCCCAAAATGGGGCTCAACGCTTTCCATTTCAGTCCTCTTTAAAATACCAACCAGCCATGGGTCCGAACAAATCCCATGTTGAGAAACTAGCAAAATCGCAGAGAAACTCAACAATGGCCGAATCCTATTTCAAGGAACTCCCGACAACAATAACTTTCGAACATATCCCATTTTGAGAAACTCCTCCAACAAACATCACTGAGAAACTGAGAATGGCGCTATGCTTTCCTTTTGGGCTTCCCTTAAAACCGACCCACACAAGACGGTTGCTTTGAGCGAAGCTCCCGAAAGATAGTGGATGGGCTTCTTCCTGCACTTTGAATCCCTGGTTGAAAACCATAGCGTTTGTTGGTAGTTACGTTGGGGAATCGAATCAGAAGCCGTTGGGTTTCTTGGGCCGGCCCTGAGGTCCGCTTCCTCAGCGCTGCTCAAGAGCCTGGGGCTGCTTGATCTCGCATGGGTCCAGTGGTCGGTTGTGGGCTCGTCTTTTTTGAGGTAGGGATCCCCCCACTCCCCACGTGGCGGTTTACGTCTTTTTTCCCACCCTTTTGGCTTCCCTCTAAGCCGCCAAGGAAAGGGGACCCCCCCAAACAAACACGGACCCATGTGTCATGTTGGTATCTTGCTCTCAACGGTGCCTTTCATTGCAGCGACCACCAGCCTTTTGGGCTTGCAAGCGCCAGCCATCTTTTGATGGGCTTGCTCTTCAACGGCCAAGTGTTTTGCGTGGAGCAGCTGAAGCGAATCCGTCTTTTGCGGAGCGAGCCAAGGGTCGCTGGCTTGATGTGCAAGGCCATTTTGGGTGGCAAGCAGCTCAGCTTGCGACAGCGCACGCGTCAAGCGGAGGGGGGGGAGGGGATCATTGGCAGCCAGTCATTGTTGGCAAGTTAAAGATGTTGATTGACGAATATGGGCTGTTGGTTGGTTACGGAGCTCCTTTTCCTGCTTCGGATCACAATAGGCCCATTTAGGGCTCAGTTTTCCTGTGGGTTTCCATTTAAAACCCCACCAAAAAGGGTTCCAACTCAAAAAATCAGACAGATCCACATGACTTCTGTTCAGTTCTATCCAGGGTTCCATTTCGTTCACGGGTTGAAGCCTCGAAGGCTGGGAGCGCATGCGGGATGAGAAGTTGGACGAGATGAAGCTTGACGTGCAGGTGCTGGGTGTCAGCCAAGCGGTCGCCACCAAAAAGGCGTCAACACGACGCCTTTTTGGAGGTAGGATGAAGACTCCGATGCATGCCTGTGACATTGCCGTCAAGTTTTGGAAGATATAGCATGAACTCTCCGCTGCTTTCTGAGTTGACAGGAGCTTATCCAGCAATACTGCGAGGTGCGGTGTGCGATTTTGCACCAGGAACCTTCATACCGTCATACCTTGACCAGGTCCGGGAACGGTGGATGAGCGAAGATTTGGAGTCGTGGCTTGCCCTTGACTCGGAGTTTTGGCATGACTGCTCACCTGACCGCGAGCACAGGGGCGATCGATGCAGGGTGTGAGATACATCCACTGAACGGAGACTTAGAACCATGGCTGTTGTGGGATATACCCTCCAACCCACTTTCATGGAAGTGCCTTCGGACCTCTGTGGAAAGACTACTTAGTTACTTTCCTCTTGGAAAGACGCTTTGTGCACAAACCCATGGTAGTTGGTGGGAGGGTAACCATCCACTTACTCAGTAACCTGCCCCTATACATGTGGCCTTTGGACATGCTCGGAGGCCTGCAACAAGGCGTACGACACGGCCATGAGCTGAAGCTGTTTGCATTGCCTGAGTCGGATTTGGCCTTGGGAGCCAATTATTTCTTTTGACCAAGGTCCCCGATGTGATGGTGGAGATGGTGTCAAGAGGTGCAGAGGTGCGCCAGCAGCTTGTTTGACATGGCAAAAGGTTCATTGGGCCTGTTTCAGGGCAGGTCAGGGGTGAGTTGAGCTGTTGCTGCTCGTGTTGCCCAGGTCTTCATCATTACCACGTCACTTGGCAGCACGCCGTCCCGTCCCTCCCCATGTTGCCAGACGAGACGGTTTCTCACGTTGAGGAAGCAGAAGCGCTTTGCACAGGCCCTCCTCGAGGAGTGGCATGGGGGGAAACGTCCCTTGGTACACTCCCTACGAGTCCAGCCGGAAGCTTTCTCAAATGGACGTGGCTCGAAAATCGGTACCCAAATGGAGCCCAGCTGAACGGAAACAAGGACTAAAACCTGCAGTCGAATTCGTGGTGCTTAATTAATTTTGACCCACACCCACATGTAAATGGTGGTGTCCCTTTGATTCGTTTGCCCGCCGAGTCCTGTCTTGGCCTTTGTGTCTGTCTCTGTCTGTTTGACTCTGTCTGTTTGACTCTGTCTGTCTGACTCTGTCTGTCTGACTCTGTCTGTCTGTCTGTCTCTGTTTTGTCTCTGTCCTCTGTCTCTGTCCTCTGTCTTTGTCTCTCTTTGTGTCTGTCTCTCCTTGTCTCTTTTTCTTGGTCTCTGTCTCTTTGTCTCTGTCTCTTTGTCTCTGTCTCGCTTTGTCTCTGTCTCGCTTTGTCTCTGTCTCTCTTTCTTTTTGTCTCTCGCTCTCTCTCATCATACTTTGTACAACCAATGAGGTTCGGACATGCCATGCCTTGTACGAAGGTCAAAACAAATTTGTTTCTTTGTGGACATAATCTACATTTCACTCGTTGGTTGGTGCAAGACATTTCATGTCTCATCCAAATTATCACATCGTGTGGCTTTCTACACAGCTTCCCCGCAAGCAGGTAACCGCAACGAGTTTGTGCTGCTGCAGTAGTATAGGCTGCCCGTACTTTTGGTGATAAAGGTGTCACGACCAGTTTTTCTTCCCTGAACTGTTGCTATTGCCATTCCAATGTTCGCGGCAGCTGGTCCAAACAAATCACTTGGCAAATTCTTGGTGCTCGTGCTCCCTCAGGCCCCGTCAGCACGTCCAAGTTGTTGCGACACCCATACGATCCCATACGCCCGGAATGTGTGTCTTGTCAACATGACCACGGTGACTTTGGGGACATGCCATGACTCAATGTCAAGGTTGTAGGCAACAAACAATGTGGCGCCAGCAGATTTCAGTGATTTCTCAATTCTCCTGCGACTTGGTTGCCCGAGCATGCAACTGTAACACGGGAACATGACCCCTTTGTTTTGAAGGGGTGCCGGATTCTGCCGGATTCTGCCGGATTGATTTTGAACCCATTGTACGTTCTTGAAAGTCATTCTGAGTCATTCTTATTTGTATCCAATGGCAAAACAGGGAGATGAAAAACCTGTTTCCGGGTGATGCTTGCAAACTTCACCACCAAGAACAGCCCTTCGTGGAGCACAGGACAGAACAGGCAGGTCAAGTGGCATCTATCCACTGGTTTGGATCATGGGTTTTATTCCCATTGGGAAACCCATCGAATTTGTCCAGGCCACCTGTGGATGGTGCACCACCTTGAAACCATGATGGTTGGTGTTTTCAGATGCCCCAGGGTTTCTGAACGGTGCGAAGTGGATTTCGGTTTCAACCACAGTATGGCCCACCTTTTGACAACCCTGACATGAAATTGCAATCCCCCCCCCCCACCCCCCCCACCCCACCCCACCCCACCCCACCCCACCCCACCCCACCCCACCCCACCCCACCCCACCCCACCCCACCCCACCCCACCCCACCCACCCCACCCCACCCCACCCACCCCCACCCCACCCCACCCCACCCCACCCCACCCCACCCCACCCCACCCCACCCCACCCCACCCCACCCCACCCCACCCCACCCCACCCCACCCCACCCCACCCCACCCCACCCCACCCCACCCCACCCCACCCCACCCCACCCCACCCCACCCCACCCCACCCCACCCCACCCCACCACCCCACCCCCCCCGCCACCCCCAATCCACCGCGGTTTTTCGGAGCAAATGTTTTCGAGGACTTCGGCGTGGAGCTTCCGGAAGAGAAGCTCTTTGCCGGAGCCTGAGCAGCAGCAGCAGCTCGACGCAATGCATGGCTGTGGTGGTCAAAACCGTTCAACGGGATCCCACTTTGGGGTTTTCGGTGAATTCCCCACCCGATTTTTGAACTGGGATTTTAGTGGTTGGATTGAATCGGATGTTCACTGGGGGTATGGGAATTTGACCCATGGCCAGGTGTGTGGTTTTGGGTGAAAGACTGGTTCCTTTACTTGGAGTTAACCGTTGGATGGTCATCCACCGGGTAAGGATGCTGAATGATCGTCAGAGTGGTTCCTATTAAGAGAAGAACGAGGATACTTAACGTGGCAGTGTACTTAGTGGGAAAGAAGCCTGAAGTGTCCCAGGTGGGTCATAGCCAGACTTACCAACCACTTACTAAGGGCCCTGCCGTAGGTGGGCCATAGGAGTTTCGGCGCTGACACGCGTGGCTCTGGCGTTTTAAACGAGGCCCTGGAGGATGGCCCAAAGACGCAGGTGCTGAAGTCTCTGCTGGCTCGGCCCGAGTGCGCGGTACCAGCAACGTTCGTTTTTTAGGGTGGCCCAAGATGTGGGTATGGGTCAAAATTAAACCAACAGGGGACCGCAGGTTTTAGTCCATGTTGCCATTTGCCAGGGATCCATTTTGGGTACCTATGTTTGACCCACAGCCATATTGTGGGTCAACACCAATGGGATCCCATTTTTGGGATAGATGCACCACCCATTTTAGTCGGGATTTTAGTGGGGATTGGGATGTTCTGGAGGTGGTACGATTTGGATTTTGACCCATGGCCATATGGCGGTTGATCAAGCTTTTCCCTGAATGGCCTCCCTAGCTTTGATCATGGGGTACGGCCTTTTCCATTGAGTCGTTGACAAAATTTTAATCTTTTCAGTGGGCTTTCCAACCAATGGTCATCTGATGTAAAGGACCTTTTGGTCAATCGCCATATGCGCAAGCCACGTTCTGCTTGCTCAAGAACCGCTCCTCCCCAAGGAGGAACGTGGACAAAGCAAGCCATGTCGCTCAAGACAGACGCGTCGACATACCCCCCCCCCCACTGATGGGTGAAGTGGAGCTGGACATCATGGGCCGCTGGAATACAGCATAAGGTCGTCAAGGTTCATCCAGATGGCGTGGATTGATTTCCAGGAAGCCATCGGATCCTTCGCCGGGGAGGATGGATCAGGCGATTCGGCTGGCCGTATCGGGACCTCAGGACGGCCAGGCTACGCTCAAAGCTTGGGCCGCCCACTTCAAGGTCCGACACCGGGGGTTTGGCGACCATGTGGATCCGGGAGTTGGGCCAAAATGAATGCCGCGAGAAGCGAAGACTTCGAGATCGCCATTGAAGCGCGCGAGCAGCAGGGCTCAACGAGTGGGAAGGGCCCTGCCACCTGGCAACCGAGGCGCCAGAACATGCGAGCCCTGATCCTTGCAGGGGGGAAAACCCCCCCACCCCGGTTGCTGCCTTGCTGGCCGTGTCCACGGGCCAATCGTGGGACAAACGTGTGATGCGCTTGTGCGCATACGCCTTTGGACCCACCCACGATTTCCTCCACAAAGACAGCAAGGGAATACTGGATCGCCAAGCTGAGACAACTTCAGCGTGACTCACTTCAAGAGCGCCACGCTTTGATCTGCACCTTCGATGGTCATGGCTCTACACCAGCTTCATTGACGAATTGACGACAGCGGGTTTGGAAACGACAGCATCGCTGCAGCTGCTGTACACCCGCTTCATTGATGGCGTTGTTGCCAAAGGCCCTTGTAGAAGGCCCAAAGAACGAGTGGGATGCGCAGGCTGGGAGCTGTACATGTACAGCTGAACCTGGACAGCGCAGCAGGGAGACTCGCGCTGCGTCATTGGCTCCGTTGAAAAAGACGTCTTTTTCGCGACGAAGCGTTTCGAGTTATCGCACACTCTGAGCATTTCTCGTCCACTGTCCTCATTCACGACCTTTTTCCCCGGAGCTCAATCCCGTCCCACTGCACAATATCCAGAGTTGCTGGTGCAGGTACAAGAACAAGAGCTTCCACTTCGTCGAGGATGTGCTGTTTGCATCAATTTGCAGATGTAACTGATGGTGTGCCTGTCAAAACGCTGGGCTTGAAGAACCCATGACTATACAGTACTCCTCTGTCAAACCGGTTGGCACTCAGAGTTCCTAGTTCTGACTGCCGGATCCAAGCAATGCATTTGCCAGAAGCGCACACGCTCCACAAAGAGCACTCCCTAGCTTTGAGAGTCAACTCACGCCTGCATTTGAGTCGCAATCAAAACCCGGGCAAGTGGAGGGTAGTAAGGGACAATCCCAGCCGTAAATGGCTGCTGCCGCCTTCTTAATTCTTCACCTGGTTCTGGGATTACGGCCATTTTAATTGTGACTCATCTCATTTGAGCAGCTCCGTTCTTTTCGCGTCTCATGCGCCCGCGATGGCGGCTTGGCCGCTCTCCTCGAGGCCAAGCTGAGGGTAGCGATCGGAAGCCACGGATGCGGTTTGCAGCTGGCCGTGGTTGTCAACACCGTTTTGAAATCGATCCCATTTCGGGGGTTTGTAGGTGAATTCACCGCCCCATTTTAGAACCGCCTCCGATTTTTTCGTGGTTGGATTGGATCGGAGGTTCACCCGGGGGCTAACCGATTTGGATCTTGGGATCTCATGGCCAGGTACGGCCCAGCTCCGCGGCGGATCGGCCGCCGGAAGCCCAGCGCGAGCTTCGCTTCGGATTCGGAGTCGGCGGATTTGGGCGGGGCATTCAAGATGCGGGAGGAGCTCTCGGCTTTTTTTGGTTTCCCCTCTTGGTTTTCTCTTCTTTTTTTTGGTTCCGGCTGGAAGAAGACATGCAAAAGGGGGTCCCCGATTTTGAGACAAAACATCATATGACTCATATGGATGATTGAGTGGCTCGCGCTACAGCCGCTCACACGCGAAGCTTCTGTGCAACGCCAACGCACGCGCCTGCGCGCCGAGGTCGAGCATGCCGAGGCCGAGCATGCTCAGGGAGACGCTGGCCCAGCTAAGGCCATCTTCAGAACTGAAGCGGGTGGTGTGGGTATTTGGCGTTGGCCAGAATGGATATGGGTCAAAATAAAGTAGCCGGTTTTAGTCCTTGTTTCCATTTACCGGTTGGTTCCATTCTGGGTACCTATTTTTGACCCACACCCGAATCATAGTCCAACATCATGGGGAAACACGGAAGTCAGTTCTTCGCACATCGGTGCGTCGTTTGGACATGGCAGGATGCAGCTGCCCTGGTCCGCGCGCTGCGCAGCTTCACGCCCGTGGAAGAGGCGCTGCTGTTGTTGCCGAAGGAGGCGGGGCTCGGCTCGGCTTTCACAGCAGACCACAGGCATGGCTGTCGGTCAAAACCAATGGGATCCCATTTTGGGGTAGGTGAATTCACCACCCATTCTAGAACCGATTTTAGTGGGGATTGGGATGTTCAGGGGGGGGTACGATTTGGATTTTGACTCATGGCCACATGAACCGAAGGTCTCGTTGAAACAATGTGGGGGTTGATCAATATTCCGTTCGGCCCCCAAATGACCACGGGGAAATCTTCCCATGTGGGACACATCCTCTCTTGTTCGTTTTTCAACCAATGCTCATTCCGTGTTTTAGGGGGCCTTTTGATCAACCCCCATGAGTTGTGTTTCAATGCTGTTGACCAACCAATTGGGCGTCTCTCAAAAGTCAAAGTTGCAGGACGTTGGTCAAACCCGTTGCTGGGAGGTCAGTTGGTGGTCAAAGAGTTTGAGAGTTGGGAGTCCGAGTTGGTGGGAGGTCCCACGGCTGTTTTTGAAGGGATTAGCCCATCCGAGTCTCAGAGGGCTCTCCTCGTTCCTGGACCCATCCGAAATCGGGCACCCCCGAATTGGTGGTTTGGATTTGGATGTGAAGCTGTGGTTCTTGTAGATGGGAAACCCCTCCTTGACCAGCAATCCAAAGCAGAAGCTGATTTTGGAACAGGCAGAGGAGCGGCTGCGCTCCTTCAACATGGCCATCGCCAGCTGCGCCAAGGCACACGCCCCGGGTGTTGGCCCGGGCACGGCGGCTGGCCATGCAGGGCTTTGGTCCATGCTTTGTCCATGTGGCTGTCAAAACCAATGGTATCCCATTTCGGGGGGTGCAACACTCATTTTAAGCTTCCTATTTTAGTGGTTGGATTGGGATGTTCACTGGGGGTACGGTTTGGATTTTGACCCATGGCCATGTCTTCACAAGCTTGTGACCCAAAGCATCAAGCTCTTGAGCAGAGAGAATGTTGGGAGCAGGTCAGCCGCTGGGAGGTTGCTGTGGGGCTCTCAGCTGAGGACGCAAGAGTGCGCATTGTCGTGAAGCGAATCAATGCCTCGTTGCGAAAATATGTCGAGGGTCATCTCGGGGAAGTGTTCCGGGATGTGCGGGCAACCCTTGGCTCAGTGTGGGTTTTTTAGGAGGAAAACCAAAGGAGATCCGAAATCCATGTCGGGGAGTCCGAAAAAAGGCAGACTTGTCTCAAATAGAAGAAGGTCAGCCTGGCCGCAGCTTGAGAGAAAGATGCGGCTCGGTTTTTGAGGTGCATTTGCTGCGCCGGATGCCAGAGAAGGCAGCTGGGGCGAATGAAAGGGATCCAAAGTGAACTTGGCTGTGGGTCAAGAATAGGTACCCAAAATGAAACCTTGGCAAATGGAACAAAGGACCAAAACCTGCGGTCCAATTCCTGGTTTCATTTTGACCCATAATCACTGGCCGTTTCAAAGTTCCGATTCGTCCGCAACGCATGCGTTCTTGCGCAGCCGGCCTGTGGCTAATGGTGTATGTTTTTGAGGGAGGCCCCTTTTGGATGGCAAAGAAAGGGAACCGGCCCACGTGCATTTTCTGAGGGAGACTCCTTTGGGATGTCGTAGGAACCCAAAGGGAAAACCATTGACTTGCTGGCGCGATAGGCAGGGAATGCGCAATGGAATGAACCCCCCCAAAAACCCTCCATTTCCCATGGTTTCCTTTATTCGGGAATCCCCCCAAACCGGTTCATTCAACCACAGGGACCCTACCAATTTCGCACCGATCGCAAGTTCCCTTCGTGAGCGGACCCGGAGAGGCCTTGGTGCCGGACGCCGTGAGCTTTACTGCTGCCATGAGCGCCTCGGCCTCTGAAGCCATCTAGCCGGAAGTCGGAAGATTTTTTCATGAAACCGTTGCTTTGGTTCCAAAAAAAGAGATTGTTCCACATGTGTCATGGACGCATTTCTTTGGTTTTCCAAAACAGCACATTTGTTCCAGACTTGTTCCAGAATTCCAGAGAGCAGCTTTGCTGCTCCTCATTTTTAGGAGTTGCTATCTCTCTTTTGGTCTTTGTTCAAGGAAAATCCAAAAGGACGCCCATAAATCCATTTTTGTGGTGGGTCAGATTCCTTCAAGAGCCACCCGTGGTTCCCATTCGATGCCTTTCCCGGTCGCGCCTTCCCGTCGCGCCTTCCCCCGTTTTCCGGTCGCGCCTGCCCCGTCTCGGCCGCCCGGCCTTTTCGGCGGTTCGAGGCCTGCAAGGGCAGCAGCAACTGGCGCTTGGCACTGGGCCTCATGGCGCAGGCCCAAAGCGCCGAGATGGCCATGGACGAGTTCGCCTGCAGCGCCGCCGGGCGCCCCGGAGAGGTGAAACGGTGAAACCGTGAACCGCTGAACGCGCCCCGGAGCTTTCCCTTGAAGGCAACACCTTCAGCCCCGCAACCCGAACGCGAAGAAGCGCGTCCGACCCACGTCCGTCGCGTCGCTCCCGCCGTTAGGCCATGAGCGCCTGCGAACGCGGCCGCCTTTGGTCCCAGGCCTTGAGGCGTGGCTTGATGTTTCCATCCCTCCCTCCCTCATGAATGAATGAAAAGGAAGGAAGGAAGGAAGGAAAGAAAGAAAGAAAGAAAGAAAGCAAGAAAGAAGAAAGAAAGCAAGAAAGAAGAAAGAAAAAAGGAAAGAAAGAAAGAAAGAAAGAAAGAAAGAAAGAAAAGAAAAGAAAAGAACAGAAAAAAAAAGAAAGAAAGAAATACAGAAAGAAAGACAGAAAGAAAAACAGAAAGAAAGACGGAAAGAAAAGAAAGACGGAAAGAAAGAAAGAAAGAAAGAAAGAAAGAAAGAAAGAAAAGAAAAGAAAAGAACAGAAAAAAAAAGAAAGAAAGAAATACAGAAAGAAAGACAGAAAGAAAAACAGAAAGAAAGACGGAAAGAAAAGAAAGACGGAAAGAAAGAAAGAAAGAAAGAAAGAAAGAAAGAAAGAAAAGAAAAGAAAAGAACATAAAAGAAAAGAAAAGAAAATAACGGAAAATAAAAGAAAAGAAAAGAACAGAAAAGAAAAGAAAAGAAAATAAAAGAAAAGAAGAGAACATAAAAGAAAAGAAACGAACATAAATAAAGAAAGAAAGAAGTAAAAAGGCAGACAGACAGACAGACAGACAGACAGACAGACAGACAGACAGACAGACAGACAGAAAGAAAGAAAGAAAGAAAGAAAGAAAGAAAGAAAGAAATAAAGAAAGAAAGAAAGAAAGAAAGAAAGAAAGAAAGAAAGAAAGAAATAAAGAAAGAAAGAAAGAAAAACATAAAAACATAAAGAAAGAAATAAAGAAAGACAGACAGAAAGAAAAACATAAAGAAAGACGGAAAGAAAGCAAGAAAGAAAGAAATAAAGAAAGAAAGAAAGAAAGAAAGAAATAAAGACAGAAAGAATAAATGAATGAATGAATGAAGGAAGGAAGGAAGACACCATTCGTTACTGAATCACTCACTGACTCACTCGCTTAGTTACTCACTTTCTCAATTACTCACTCACTCATCCAATCAATCACTCACTCACTCACTCACTCAATCAATCAATCAATCAATCAATCAATCAATCAATCAAACAAACAATCAAAGTTCACCAACAGAACCCCCCCCCCCCCCCGTCACCGCCTTCTCCCCCCCCCCCTCATTGCCAGCTGAGCCGCAGGCTGCTGGGCTCCATGCGGAACGGGGGGCAGGTGGTGGGCCCAGTGGCGGTGACGGCGGCGCTGGCGGCCTGCGCCAGCAGCACC